CTGATTTTGTGATCTTGGATTGTGAGGTAGATTATGAAGTTCCAATCATATTGGGAAGACCCTTCCTTGCCACTGGGAAGGCCTTAGTTGATGTGGATGCAGGGGAACTCACCTTCCGGGTGGGTGATGAGAAAGTGGTCTTTCATGTGTGCAAGTCAATGAAGCAGTCCAACAGTTCTGAGGTGTGCTTTTTTGTGGACCTTGTCACAGTAGTGATAGTTGATGATACAAGTGCAATGATCAATGTGGAGGACTCTCTAGAGGCCATGTTGTTGAATCTTGATGTAAATAAGGATGAAGGCCGAGTGGAGTGCGTGAATGTTTTGCATGGAATGGGCTCTTACTCTTATGAGCCTAGGAAACTCTCTTTGGATCTTGAGAATAGGAAGACTCCACCAACAAAACCTTCAATTGAGGAACCTCCGGTGTTGGAGTTGAAGCCGTTGCCTCCACACCTCAGGTATGCGTTCTTAGGCCCTAGTTCAACTTTGCCAGTTATTATTTCTTCTTTTAAGTTGACCACCACTCCTATTATTACCACACCCAATTGGAGCTTGCCTTTTGAGCTCATATGTGATGCGAGCGATGTTGCGGTTGGGCTGGTTTTGGGTCAAAGAGTGAACAAAATATTTCATCCGGTGTATTATGCGAGCAAGAAAATGAATGATGCTCAAGTGAACTACATGGTGACTGAGAAAGAGATTTTGGCTATTGTGTTCGCGGTGGAGAAATTTTGGCCGTATCTTATGGTGCCAAGGTCATAGTCCATACTAATCATGCCGCATTCCGATACTTGATGACAAAGACGGATTCCAAAGCTAGACTGATGCGATAGGTCTTGTTGCTTCAAGAGTTTGATTTGGAGATTGTGGACCGGAAGGATAGTGAAAACCAAGTGGCGGACCACTTGTCCTTTTTGGAGGAGGAGGGGAGGCCTCGTGATGGCCTAGAGATTAATGATTCATTTCCCGACGAACAACTCCTTTCGATGTCGGTGAATGGTATACCATGGTTTACGGACGTTGCTAATTTCGTTGTGACTGGTATAATACTGTGTGAGCTCTCTTCTAACCAAAGGAATAAGCTCAAACAAGATAGTTTGGATTTCTATTGGGATGAGCCGTACTTGTTCAAGATTTACACGGATGGTGTGATCTGAAGGTATGTCCCGGAGGAGGAGTAATTGAGTATCTTAGAGGCTTGTCATTCCTCTCCCTATGGTGGCCATCATGGCGGGGCGATGACGGCTTCAAAAGTTCTTAGTTGTGGGTTTTATTGGCCAACTTTATACAAAGATGCAAGTGAACTTGTGAACAGGTGTGACGAATGTCAAAGAGCGGGTGGAATTTCGAAGAAAGATGAAATGCCTATCAATACCATTCTTGAAGTTGATATTTTTGATGTATGAGGCATTGATTTTATGGGCCCGTTTGTTAGCTCGTGTGGGAATACTTACATTCTTGTGGCGGTTGACTACGTTTCAAAGTGGGTTGAAGCCGTGGCTTTACCCAACAATGAGGCCTAGAGTGTTGTTGCATTTCTCAAGAAGAGCATTTTTACAAGGTTTGGCACTCCTCGTGAAATCATAAGTAATGGGGGGTCTCATTTTTGTAATAGATCTTTTGACACTTTGCTTGCAGAGTATGGTGTCAATCACAAAGTTTCTACTCCTTATCATCCTCAAGCGAGTGGCCAAGTTGAAGTCTCAAATAGGGAAATCAAGAGTATATTGTCAAAAATGGTCAATGCAAATAGGACCGATTGGTCCAAGAAGTTGGATGATGCTCTATGGTCTTATAGGACTGCTTACAAGACTCCGATTGGTATGTCTCCGTACTGGTTGGTGTTTGGAAAAGCTTGCCATCTAACGGTTGAGTTAGAGCACAAGGCCATGTGGGCTTTGAGGAAGCTGAATCTTGAATAGAATGTGCCAGCAAATCTTCGTGTAGAGCCGCTTAATGAACTTGATGAATTCCGATTCCATGCCTGTTCCAGTTCGTCCTTATACAAGGACAAGATGAAGTACCTACATGATAAATATGCTTGTGGCAAGGAGTTCAAAGTGGGTGATTTGGTTCTCTTGTTCAACTCCCGGTTACGTCTGTTTCCGAGAAAGCTTAAGTCGAAATGGAGTGGACCTTTTGAAGTGGTATTTGTGACTCCGTTTGGTGAACTTGACTTGAAGAACAAAAATGGGGAGATTTTCAGAGTTAATGGGCACATGGTCAAGCACTACCTGGGCAAGATTGATGACAACCACGTGGTGGCACTACTCCATCTAAAGTGATTTGATAGTAATCTGCGTTGTGCCGCGACGTTAAATCAGACGCTTCTTGGAAGGCAACCCATGTGTCTTTCTTTTTGTTTTTCTTTGATTTTCTTTGTAGTATAGGATTTGCTTTTAGACTAACTAGTTGTGAGTTGTTGTAGGATTGTTTTGATGTAGTGCAGGACTGAGTTGGAAAAATGCACACTCTCTGAAGTTTGCAACGGGGACCGCAGTGCATTTTATGCGGCCGCAAAGGCCTTAGTGCGGGGGCAAAAATTCAATGCAGACCGTAGAGTTTATTAGTACAAAATGAGGAGTTACTGAAGTTTTCCACCGCGGTCACAATGCATTTTATGCGGTCCGCGGTGGACCATTGCGGCCGTATTTCATTTCTTGCGGACCATAGTGGCCATCTCCCCAGTGCCACTTATTTCTGAGTACCGCGGACCGCAGTGCCATTTTGTGCGGTCCGCGGTGAGTAGGTGAGATGGGCCCCAGGTCCTTTTTTATAAATAGGACCTGAGGCCCTCGTTATAAACTTTTCGACCTTTTACGTGAATTTAACTGCTAAGTCTCGTTAATTAAGCTTGCATATCACTTCTGGTAAATTTAATTCTTCCTTAGTTCTTTAATTTTGTTATTTTCTTTTAACTTTTATTTTTCTTAGTTTTTCTTCTTTTTCTTACCATTTCTTTCAATTCTGTATAGTAGGTTTGTTAAATCATGTTTAAATTAGGACTAGTTAGCTAAAACCAGTGATTCAACACTTAGGGGATCAAGAATAGATAAAAACATTGGACTAAAAACATGAAAAATTTGAACCCTAGGTTGGTATTGCTGTTGAGTGCTCACCGCGGACCGCGGTGGATTTTGTGCGGTCCGCGGTACTTCTGTGCCGTCTGCAATGCTATTTTATGCGGACCGCGGTGATGAAAGTTATGAAAGCTGATAAGTGAGGACCGCGACCGCAATGGATTTTGTGCGGTCCGCGGTGCCTCAATGCAGACCGCAATGCATTTTGTGCAGTCCGCGGTGCCTAGATTCAGAGAGTGGGTAGTCTGGTCCCCATCTCAGTGCGGACTGCGGTGCATTTTGTGCGGCCCACGGTAGCTTCTATGCGGCCACACTTCATTTTGTGCGGTTCCCATTCTGCAATTCTGACTGTCTACAATAATTTTTCTGTAATGCTTCACTAACTCTGCTGATACTAACAAAACTCAATTGTATTCTCTTTGCAGATCATGGTGAAATCACGAGGCAGAAGTGATAAATAGAAAGGGAAAGGAGAGTCCTCCCGGGTAGGGGACAAGGAATGATTAGATTGACCCAGCAAGCCCGGCATAACATCAAAAACACCAGAAAGCTCATAAAGGTTGCTGATAGAGCTATTGACCAATCCGGGAGTGAATGTGAGCCTTCCCGGGAGGTATCTGACTCATACTCCGTGCCAGAGTATGTTCCTGACTGGCTGGAGAGGAACATATTGAGGGATACACCTTCGAGCTCTTCCACTGCCCAAACATCAGTGCACATATCTTTTGAGTCGTCTAAGGTCTCAGCTGCAGACATTGGCAATGAATATTCCACCTCACTTACAGCTTCACTAACCGGAGAGGGTCTCATAGAAGAAGAAGGAGAAGAAATAGGAGGGGGTGAGCCCCAAGTAGGAGGGGTAGAGAGAACCAGAAATCCGGAGGCATGACAAGACAGATTTGTGAGTGAGGTAGCCTACCACAAGTTCAGAGAGTGGTGGCCCGAGAGGAAGCTAATACCGGAGTGGAAATTCATTACAAAGGACCTCATGCCTCACAACCCCAATGTGTCGAGATAATTCGGGGAGAGAGCAGGCTGGGACTACTTCATAAGCCATGTGGAGGATGCCAATGAGCACCTAGTCAAGGAGTTCTACACCAATATTGCCCACATCAAAAAGGGCACCACAGTGACTAAGGTGCAAAATATGAAAGTGAAATTTGATGGCAAGACGATAATTAATTATCTGGGCTTCCCGGAGGAGAACGAGACCTTGTACTTAGATAAGGTAGCTTTGGGGGAGGATGCCCCGCTGTGGCTAGCTGAGTACTTGGCAATCTTAGGTACCACCCCAGCATGGTTGACAACGGGGGTAAAAATTCTGAAGCGGACACTTAACTTTGAAGCGAAGGGGTGGGATACATTTGTTTGTAGCCGGCTAGACCCCACTAATCACGACAACTCCCTGTAGACATGTGATTTTTGACCCTCCCCAAGTTTTTTATATTTTAGCGCATAAATATTTAATTTAGGCATAATATAGATATTTTAAGTAATCTTGACTCTTTTACTTTATTTTATTACAAGAAAATAAAAATTACAAAAAATAGGTTCATTAATATTTTGTAGTCATTTTTAATATTAAAAAAATATATACAACAATAGTATCGTATTTTTATTTAATATGATATTTGAAAATACCAAAAATAGATTTGTTTTAATGGTTAGTTTTATTTTAATAATTATTTGAATAGTAGTAATAATTAATAAATGGGCCCGTATTTTTAATCTTGTTCGCAGCGAAAGAATAGAACTTGGGCTCGAGCAACCCATTTTTAGGCCTAATTTTGGACCTAGACCACAATTGCCAAGCCCATAATTCCTAGGCCCATACCCCTTAACCTAAAAACCTACCAAAAAACCTACAATATAAAAAAAAAAAAAGCCTAAGAGAAAAGAACGAAGAAAGAGACTGAAAACAAAAAAATTCACACACAAAGCTACGCATAGGACCCCCCTCTCAGATCGTCTTCTCCAAACACCCCTTTCCCCACTGCCTTTTCTTCAACAACAAAACCAACAAACACCATAACAAGGAGCCGCTGCTGCTTCTCCATCTTGTGACCCCTCGCTGGAAACAACCAGCGAGAACCACAGAGACCACCGTCGTTTACCTCCACTTTGATCCAATCGCCGACGAACCAAACAACACCCTTCATTTTCGCTTGCTTCAACCTAGAACGACCTGAAACCAGCAACACAAAAATGCACACACACTCACAAATAGAGAGAAAGGAAGCTGTTGTTCTTGTAATTTTATTTGGTTTTAGCTTCTGTCTCGCCGGCGACAGATCCGACATTCCCGTCAGCTTGTGTTTTCAGGTGATTTTCAGTCCAAAACAACACCTGAACACAAAAATTCCGGTCAGAGCTTGAGTCTTGTTGAGGTTTCCGTTCGAGGTTCGGTGGCAGTTTGGCTTTTGCTCCGATTTTTCTATTCGACTTTTAGTAGCGTATCAGGTATGAACCTAGATTCGAAATGTTGTAATTGTTGATCCGTTCCTCGGTATCATAATGATGTTGCCACCATTTTCTGATGCTCCGATGCTTCCTTGGATCGTTGAAGCATATGTTCATGATTTGCTCATTGATGACTTCAATTTGTGCTAATTGTTTACTGCCTCTGTTTTGTTAAAGTGAGCTGCTTCATGTTCAGCCATATGTGAATGTGGTTTTCCTTAATTATGGAGTTTACTATTGTTGTTCATTTTCTACGCACTACTTCTGTTCCGATTTTGACTCGATTTTTGCAGGTTTTGTTGTTATTGAGATGTTGGTGATAGTATGTTTTTGACGAAATTGAAGGTCTGCTCTCCTGCCAAAATTCTGTCCTTCACCCATGAAGTTTTTTTTTTTCGTTTCTGTCACTATCCTTATTGGCAAAATTATGTACTAATCTTGTTCTTGACCATTGAAGTGCTTAGCTTATTTGCTATACTTTTGTTCATTTAGATCTCCATCGTATATAGATACGTAGGTGATGTTCCTCTGAGTTGGGAAGTTATATGGTATAATATTAAAGAAGTTCATCACTTGTAAAATACTTATCAACAGATCACTTTCACATTTGTGTATAAATATAGATCAGGTATATGTTTATGTAATTCTATATCCAAACGAGCCTTCCAATGAATGTGTAACTTAGAAATATAATTTTGAACATGTTAGAATTCCTGGGCGCATTTAATTCATTATCGTAATTATGTACACGTTCGCGTGATAGAAGTGCGTTTTTTCTTTTAAAAATAATAAATATTCGTAGAAAAGCCTTTAGGGCCGTTTAATATACAATCATGATTGTGTACACATTCGCGTGACATAATTACAGTTCTAAAATCAACTCGGAGTATGCGTTCGCGCAACTTCGATTAAACCTTTTCTTAATAATAAATTTGTTAGTAATATAGTACCTTTTAATTTAACTTAGTTCTTGTAGTTCAAGGTGTGCCATCCATAATTTAATCACATATGGTCCTCGTATTAATTTCATAATTTAGATATAACAAATAACCAATGATCGTAGTTTGCTTTAGGCACATTTAATATATTATCGTGGTTGTGGACACGTTCGCGTGACATGATATTTGACACACCAAACAAATGAGTATACGTATGCGTAACTCAATTCTTTAATTACGAATAATTCAAGTGATTAAAAAGCGGTAAAAAGGTAAATGCACATAGGTCCTAAAAATGAGTATTTAAATAATTTAAGCCAAGTATAAATTGCTAAGCGACCGTGCTAGAACCACGAAATTCGGGAGTGCCTAACACCTTCTCCCGGGTTAATAGAATTCCTTACCCGGATTTCTATGTTCGTGGACCATAAATAAGAGTCAACTTCCTCAATTCGGGATTTTAAACCGGGGACTTGGAACGCCATAAATTATCCCAAGTGGCGACTCTGAATTTAATACAAATAATCCCGTTTCGATTGTCACTTAAATTGGAAAAACTCCCTTATTCCCCTTGAGGGGTGTAGGTAAAAAGGAGGTGTGACAGCTCTGGCTACTCTGTTGGGGATCGAACCCAGAATCTCCGGTTCAGGGTTCAAGAATTCGAGCTTGTTAACATGGTTTTTACTTGGCTTTATTTATTGTTGATATTACTGTATTATGTGAACCTTTTGTGCTAAATGCTATCTGTTTACCGCTTTGATATTGTTTGAGTTGTATATAACTGTTTTCTTATGCCAGGCCTCTGAGTCTTCTAAAAATGGTGCACACGTTCGAGTGACCCGCGTTTTCTGTAGAAATTATACCAAATAGAACGAGGCTGGGCAAGCGATAAGGCCTGGTAGACTTCAGTGCTCCCGGTACGTCGCCCCCTCTTCGGCCCCAATTGTCCACTCGGGTACCCCAAGTCTAGAACAAAACCCCAGGATTCAAACCTAGAAAAACACAGCCTCATGCCGGATCCCTAGTAGGAACGTTTGCTTGCATCACATGCAATTGACTTTGCGGACTCAACACAGGGGTTGGGTCCATCTAGGACAGGTGTACCCAAAATAAAAGACCATCCTGATGCATCTTATGTGCTACATGTTGCATTTATTCAAGGGTAAAAGGGTCATTTGGCGGACCAATGATAGCTGAGGGTAAATGAAGAAATGAAAAAAACAATGAAAAAGAAAAAAGAAAGAAAAAAAAAAGAAAAAGAATGGGTGAAGTGTGAAGATAAAGCGAGTGGGTCCTAATTATGTTTTCTGTTACGTTTTATTAAGAAAAAAAAGAGCTTGAAAAATTCAAAAGATTTTTGTACTTTTTCATCATTTTTCAAAAATTAAAAATCAAAAATCAAAAAAGTGGAAAAAGAAAAAAAAAAGAAAAAGAATGGGTGAAGTGTGAAGATAAAGCGAGTGGGTCCTAATTATGTTTTCTGTTACGTTTTATTAAGAAAAAAAAGAGCTTGAAAAATTCAAAAGATTTTTGTACTTTTTCATCATTTTTCAAAAATTAAAAATCAAAAATCAAAAAAGTGGAAAAAGAAAAAAAAAAGTTGACATGTTTCATCATTTTTCAAAAAAAATAGAGAAAGAAAAGAAGAAAAAAAAATATATTTTCTCTAAATTAGTTGTTATTTTTATTTTTCGCCCGTATCCAATCTGCCCGAACTACGCATACCTGATTCTCGTCTTTCGGGGTGTGATATGTAGGCAACCCACATAGGGTCCGGTCTTCCTAGTAAATCTTAGGTTCTTGGCATTGCGGGGTTGTAGCCAAATTTTGCACTTCTAGCCATTTTTTGGCCAAATAAGTCAGTTTGCAAAATAGCCTCAATCATGTCTTGCATGTTTCCAACAGGAAATGTTATTGTCTCACATAGTGCTCTAGGTCTTTAACCTATTTGGTTTTCATTTTTTTCCTACAGGCGTGGATTTACTTAGCGGAGTTGAGCATGACAGAGCCCCAGGACATCTAGCCAGGATCGCTCATTCAGGAGTAGATTAAAAGAAGATTTTCTTTTCTTTTTATGTTTTGAGTCTGTTTTGTTTTTATTTTTTATTTTATGTCATCTTTTACCTTCTAGTTTTGTATAGTAATGTCGACTTTTATTATTATTATTTACATATGAAAGGGTGTGTAATGAATCAAAAATCAAAAAAAAATTGCGTTTTATATTTCCGTTAAGAATTTTCTTTAGAATACTAATCGTAGGAATGAAAAAAAAGTATTTCGGAGGCAGTTTTTTCTTTAGGCAATTAATATCTAGGACTTAAATAAAAATTATTTTTATATTTCCTTTAGTATATTAGGACCAAAATTCAAAAAAAAAGAAGAAGATGAATTTTCTTTTAGTACCTCTTTAAAAGTTTTCTTTAAGGCATTAATTCCAAAATCCAAAAGATTTTCTTGTGAGGTGTTTCTTTGGGAAATTAATGAAAGATGAAAAAAAAAATTCTTTTTATTTTCATTAGAACTTTAGGATATCGCACATAGAAAAAAGCATACTTTATCTTTTGTCTATCATTAGAATTTTTCCTTTAGGCAATCAAAATTGAAATAAAAAACATTCTGTTTTATCTTTTTTATTGCTTGCTTCGAAATCTTGCGTCAGTATATCAAATGAAGATTCAAAATGTTTTTCTATGATTTTATTCCTTAGATTTCCTTCATAAAAAAAAGAAGAATCAAAAAATATTTTTCTCTTTTAGGGTTTTTCCTTGATAATTTCTCATAGAGTATCTGTTTTTTAAAAAAAAAAAGAGAAGAAAAAAGAGAAAAGAAAAGAAAATGAAAATGTTAGTTTGTTTACTTTATTTCCGATCTTTCAGAACTACGCAAAGATCTGATTCATGCGGCGTCATGATACGTAGACAACCTACATAGGGTTCAATCGAATCATTTTTTTAACTGTTAAAAGAAAGGAAAAAAAAGGGAAAAAGGAAAAAGAGAAAGAAAAAAAGAGATGAAATTATGGGATGTGAGAAATGAGAGAAAGAAAAGAGTGATGATTAAAAAAAAGAGAAGAGGAAGGAAAATGAGCAAGCCAAGAAGTGTTAGAAAAGAAAACGGAAGATTCAAATGGACAAATTGGGATAATGCCAAGTGACCTTGTGACCCTCGAAGTCATTCTTGAACCGTTAATTGTTGCTAGGTGCATTACACGCAATGTGATATTTTTTCTGCTAAATGCCCTAACGCTAACGGGATGACCCCATTTTGTTCCTTTTGATATCTTCATAGCAGAAAGGTGGTTGGTTTGTGGTTCTCGAAGTGGTAACTCTTCTCTACAACATAAAGTCAAAAGACAATGGCAGACAATAACGGAACTGAGTCGGTTGATACTGGCGCTCAAAAGCAGTTGGTTGAATAGGACAATGAGTTGGTTGAAGAGGTGAGGATGATAAGACAACACATGGCAGACATGTATCAGGCTTGGATGACCGGGAAGGCACCACCCCTGCCACCACCTAGCTTCCTAAATACTACCCTTATCCGAACACCGGTCACAGTGCCAGATGATCCCCCATACTCTCCAGATTCACCCGCTTACCATGGCTTTCCCAACCACCCTAGTAGCTCCATCACTCATTTTCCAATTACCTTCCCCAAAAATTGCCCTCCTGTCTTATCCACCATCCCCAACAATGAACACCCACTCAAAGCTCACGATGCCCAATATTACCCCTCAGAGGTTGCCCACAAAGTTTCCAACTCATACAAATAGAGCCCTCGGGATAAGTCGTATGTTGAAAATGAAATGTTCACAGGAAAAGAAAGGAAAGATGGGATACCCAGGAGGCTGAAAGACATAGAACAATACTTGAAAAACAAACAAGGAAGGGAAGACCAAGGTAGCATGACTTATAAAGAACTGTCTGTGTCCCCCGACGTTCGCATGCCCGCGAGGTTCAAAGTGCCAAAATTTAACTTGTATGATGTGTGTGGAGATCCGGTAGCCCACCTGAGGGTCTATTTCAGTGAAATGAGAAGCGTTGGAGAGAAAGATGACATGTTGATGGCATATTTCAGTAAGAGCCTGACTGGGGCAGCTTTAGACTGGTATATTCGTCAAGATGTTGGTAAGTGGTCTACATTGGGTGGCATGGCTCAGTATATTGTTCGATGATTTCAATACAGATAAGGTTTTACCCCAGACCGCTCCTCCCTATCTAAAATGTAAAAGATGCCGGAGGAAAGCTTCAGAGAATTTGGACTCAGATGGAAGGAGCAGGCTGCTCGAGTCAATACCCCGATTGGGGAAGAAGAAATGGTTGAGCTCTTCCTAATAGCCCAGGGGCCCACCTACTTCAGTCATTTGGTCCCGGCATTAGGAAAACCTTTCAATGATGTGTTAAAAATGGAAGATATGTTAGAAGAGGGAATCAAATCAGGTAAAATCATGAGTTGTTCGAAAGACATTTAGAACATCGTTGTAAGCTTGGGTGGAAGAAAGAGAAACAGAAAAGATGATCCGATGGGCTTTCCCGATTAACACTTCCAGCCTC